GTGTGTGTATGTGTGTTTTATAATTTTTTTTGAAATCCTGAAGTATCACGTAAAGGACTCCTAGTCCTAGTCCGAGTGCGGCAAGTATGGAAAGATGCTATGCTTCCCCCAGTGTGCATAAACTTAAGTTGACACTGTCAATGGCCAACACATGCAAAACTCACACACTGAATTCACGTGATGCGACTGAAACAGATATACTGATGGGTCTTGATGACGGGCCCTACTCACCAGAACTTGTACAAAGCTTGGTTTGAAAGTAACAGCAGAACTATGAATAGTATTGATTATTTGTGTGTTGCAATTGAAATTGCTATCAGGCCATCAACAAAGAATTGTGGGTGGAAACAAAAGCGAAAGTAGATCTTGAGAATGTCCCAAGTCAGAAAGCCAAATCGATACTACTTCCATTAGGTATAGTTGAAATAACATGTGCAAGTATGATCCAACACAACTTGGGGCCAGTTGACTACTAAATATGGCATCGATACTTCGGTAAATAGAGTTCTGAGTTCCTGCTGACAAAAAGTTTAATGGGTGCTGCCCGCGACAGAGAAGAAGGCAGAGTAAGTTTTTAGAAAAATCTGGTGCAACAGACGGCACAAAAAATTGAGATACATGCAATCGAAATCGGAAAAATCGGGATGCCTAAGATTTGAGGTAAAAAATCGGGATATCCTCAATAAATCGGGATGAGTGGCAGGTCTGTAGAACCTACCAGTGTCGGGCCTCCAACAACCTACCGTTACCATTTTCAAAAAAAGACAGATCATGCATGAACTCAGATCAATACTGATACTATGACCACAGAATCTACAAACAGCTATGCCTGTTACAGAAGGGCACATCTTTATAGTTTTTTAGTTTTAGTAAGGTTTTACGGCGCTCGCAACTGCATAAGGTCATATGAACGCCTAAGGGTGGATGTCAACAGAGAAGTCCAAACGGGGAATAAGGCTTACTTTGCTAACCTTTCTAGCCTCAACAGCTCAAAGTCTGCTTCGACTACCAAGGCACCCCAAAAATAGCACTTCATAAGATAGTGACAAACAAAAAAGAAGTGGAGGAAAAATGACGATAGTAAGGATAGGGAAAGAAAAAGCAGCAGTTCCCCCTATGTTGTCCAGCACAGTATGAGCATGACATTGATAAATCAGCCTATTTACAATTCTACTGTGCATAAGAACATGTAAATATCCCCCCATTGGGAATGACCAGAAGACAACTTCAGTCAGTAGCACTACCCTGGAGGGGGGGGGGGCACATCTTTAACTCAGTTCGTGACATGTTGAACAACAGGGTAGCTGATTCCGCTCAGTGAGGCATTATTGAGCGTAGGTTGTAACAATAGTCTTCAAGGCTCTCCATCTGCTTGGCTTTGTATTGTCAAAGATCCAGATAAATGTAAATATAAGAAATCCCACCTCTTAAATAGCCTTGCAGAGTTGTTGCTTGGCGCTCATATATGACCTTATGCAGTTGCGAGTGCCATAAAACCTCTACTAAAACTAAACTAAACTAAAGAGTTGTTGCTGTTGCTATTTATACTGCATCGGATAGGCTTTCACTTTCACTGAACTAAAGGAGACACTAACTTTTAAAATATATTATACCGTTCTCATGG